TTATTTACTGATTCACTTTTACCTTATAATTGGAATGGTCTTCTTCATTTTATTGAAGGTGACAGAATTCATCTAATTAGTTTTTGTCTTTCAGTACAAGATAAAACCACTTGGGCACTTACGGCTACTTACTACGTTAGAGGAAATATGTGTTGAGAGATATTATGAAAATGAAATATTAACGTGTGTACTGAATTTATTTAATTGACTTTATATTTTAACTATTGTTGTAAGTTGTAACACATGGTCTTGGTATTGTTGTTCTATGCTTTGATGAGAGGTATTTTCATTCATAGGAATCAGGCTTAGCTGTGAAGCAATTATTGTTATCCATGTTTTTTTGCTAAATTCTTAACTCATTTGTACGTGAATCTAGATCAGTATTGATCCACCAACTCTCTAAGAAACTTACCCAAAGAATACCTTATAAGTTGAGAGGACTTCCTGTTTCATCTGCCTTCCATCCAAACCGTAGTATATTCTTCATTTCAACGAAGAAGGATGTGCGCGTTTTTGATCTGTTAAAGCAAAAGCTTCTTAAGAAGCTTGAGCCTGGAGTGCGTGAAGTTTCCTCCATCGGTATTCACCCTGGTGGTATATTTCTGTTCCCAAGATTGTCTCTCTCTCCGTGTTAGCAAACACAGACACATTTTTTCAAGTCATATCTTTGAACTTGTTGGTTCCCCTTGTAATTTAGGTGATAATGTCATTGTGGGAAGCAAAGACGGAAAATTGTGCTGGTTTGACATGGACCTTTCTTCTCACCCTTACAAAGTCCTCAAGTATGTAACCACTATTAATTTCTATTCAAGTTGGTTTTAGTAAAGTTTCTTGAACAGGATTTCTTATTATTATTATTCTTTTTTATTATTTTTTTCCTCCTGTTTGAAAATGTTGAAGATCTCTTGAACTTGCCAATTTTGCATTGATAGAATTTTTGGCAAATGTTAAGATGGCATGGTAATTCTACCTGTGAAAATATAGATGGGATGAGCAAGCATGGATCATTAACTCCATTGCTGGTGTAGATTAATAATATGAGATTTTTTGGATGATATAAAAGGTAAGTCAAGCTTGTAAACTATTCTTTAGTTCTAGGAGGGTAAAGCACGAGTGTATCGTTCTCTTGCAAAGATTCTGTTAGTGCAAGAAGATTTCTGTGATTGTCCATAAACTTGGAAGGGCTGGACAGTATAATGTATAAGCTTTTAACTTCTTATCTAATATTGTTCAATCCTGTCAAGTTCACCAAACATGTTTTGAAGTTACTCTTTGTTTATATATTGTGAATTGTAGTTGTGATATGACTTTGACACCTGGTTTCTAAATTTGCAGGCCTCATAAAAAAGACATCAGCAAAGTCTCTTTCCATCATTCATACCCTTTATTCTCCTCATGCTCAGACGATTGCACCGCATATGTTTTCCATGGAAAGGTTTATTCGGATCTGAATCAGAACCCATTAATTGTTCCCCTGGAAATTCTACGTGGGCATGCTAGTGCAGATGGAAGAGGTAAACATTGTTTATGCTTGCCTTTGTTTCAAAGTAGAACTATTTTGTTTGGACTAAAATATTTAATTCTTCTGTACCGAGTTCAAACTTGCTTTGATAAAATCAACTATGCCAATTCTATGTTGAAGGAAATAGACGGCACTACCAGCATTAATCAGACACGGGAAACTTTGATTTCTGTTCTCCTAAATGTCACATTTGCCCAGTTGTTGAGTCAGATGATATGTGTCTCTTGACTCTTTATCTTTATCATATTACTCTTTTAACATCCTGATCTTTTGATCGATAAACCAAAATTTGCAAGAAAAGAGGAATTGTTTAAATTTATTTGGCCGTGTAATATTGTATCAATCTATGTATGAGTTCGATGTTTACATAGTATCAGTAGCTGCACAAGTATTGGAAAGTAACTTGTGCCCATGACTAGCGAGGCCCATTTTGTTGGGCGGGGTTTGAATTGGTGCCCCTTTGGGATCCCTGGACATGTTTTTTACTTCCACTACTTTGAGCATTTTTGACGGAAGTCTGAAAACAAGGAAAATGACCTTTTTTTGGCAAGTAAAGACTGACTTTTAAGTAAGTTTTTCATAAAGTAACTTCTGTAAAATATCAAACACGTTTGTCTCTAAGCTTAAAGTTACTTTCTACGAATGTTTAGGCTTTGCATTAATGTAATAATCTATCGTGGCCTCTGAACTTCGGTAATTAGCTGCTCGAGATACGTTCATATTGTGGCATAGCCCACTAAGATGTGAATGTGATTTTTGCAGGAGTTCTGGACTGCAAGTTCCATCCAAGGCAACCATGGCTATTTACCGCTGGCGCCGATTCAGTTATCAGGCTCTATTGTCATTAAGAAAGGTCACAGGGGACGGTAATAGTATATCCTTCAAGTTCCATTGTTAAAGGGCGTTGGAAGATTATCAGATCCCAACCTAGTTCAGATTCTTTCCGAGGAGAGAATGAGAAAAGTAATTTAGTCCGTATTGGAACCTTGAAATGATAAAAGGTATATTGTTCTATTTGTTTTTCACCTTATTTTTAGCGACGAGTCTTTTTACAGAATACCCAGTGTTGTTTCAATACATTGTTATTTTGACATGGTGTTTGACGTGTTGTGTAGTATTACAATATGGGTCTGATTATTTTTCAAGCTAATTTTATTCTAAATTCTCATTAATAAGTTTGTCAGGATTCTACCTCTTGTAGAAGCTTTTCTAGAAAGCGATTAAGCGATCCTGCATCAACTTCTTTTATAAGTTTTTATAGCTATAGTACTTTTAGAAAATGGGTTAATTTCACAAATGGTCACTGAACTTACGAAAAAAATTACAAAATGGTCACTGAAGTTTAAAACTTTCAGTAAGGTCACTCAAGTTTTAGGACGCTTTCAAAAGTGGTCACTGAAGTTTAAAAACTTTCAGAAATGGTCACTATAATTGAAAAACACTGTTTTCAATTTTTTGGGCTACTTTTGCGATAATTTTTCGGTTACTTCCAACCATCGACACTGACAAATTTTGATACCGTTGCAAAGCCCAAAACGTCCTCTTCAATTACCATCCAAAATCTTCTTGTAACTCCGAGGGATTCGACCGGAAAATCGTTGCAAAAATCGCCAAAAAAATTCTTAAAATCTGTCCAAAATTTCAGATTTTTGGGCGACTTTTGCGGTGATTTTCCAGCGACTTTCGACCACCAAGACCGTCGGATTTTGATACTGTTGAAAAGCCCACAATGTCTTTTTCAATTACCATCCAAAATCTCCCCCAAAATTCAAAAGATTTGGTTGGAATAAACTCACAAAGTCGGCATCCCAAAAAGGCAAAAATCTGTGTAGATTTTTCAGATTTTTGGGCTACTTTTGAGTCAATTTTACAGTAGCTTCCGACCACCAATATCGCCGAATTTTGATACCCTTGGAAAGCCTACAATGTCCTCTTCAATTACCACAAAAAATCTCCACCAAACTCCAAAGGATTCGGCTGGAATAAACTCACAAAATTGGCTATTCGAAAAGGTAATAATTTGCCCAGATTTTTCAGTTTTTTTGACTACTTTTGCGGCAACTTTTCGGCAACTAGACCGCCGGATTTTGGTACCATCGGAAAGTCCACAATCTTCTCTTCAATTTTCATCCAAAATCTCCCCATAACTCCAAAGGAATTGGCCGAAATAAACCCACAAAGTTAGCATCCCAAATCTGTCCAAATTTTTGTCTTTCCTAATCCTCTGGAGTTTGGGGGGGGGGGGGTTTTGGGGGGGAATTTATAGGGTGACCATTTCTGAAAGTTTTGAAACTTTAGCGACCGTTTTTGAAAGCGTCCTAAAACTTGAATGACCATTACTGAAAGTTTTAAACTTCAGTGACCGTTGGTGAAATTAACCCTTTAGAAAATTATACAAATATTTTCAAAAGCAAATTTTTAATACTATAAGGGTCCATTTGATTGCAATAATGGAATTCGAGTGAAAAGAAAACGAATTTCAGGGAATTGAATTGTCTAAAACTTATTTTATTGGGAATTGTCAATTAAATATATTTGATTGATATAATTTTCTATTTGAAAATATTGAAATCTTGGATTTCTTGGTATTCGTTTGACTTTATTTTCTTGAAATTTGTCAATTAAAGTGATAGAATTTGTTTTCATTCCAACAAAAAAAAAAAAAAAAAGGCTGGATGGCACTTTTCCACCAAAATCAAAAGAAAATAAATTTCTTAAAAACCAAGAAAAAGGGTCATGTTTCCACGGAAAATGTTGCCCATCAAACAAGACTTTTGGATGGAAGTTCCATTTTCATGGAATTGGTTTGTATCAAATAGGCCTTAACTATATTTTATTTTTTTAAGAAATCAAACGGGATATAAGCTGGATTGGGAATGAATTACCCAAATGGTCATTGAATTTTACAAAAAGTTTTCACGCGCTCACCGAACTTTAAAAATCACCCAATTAATCAATGAACTTTGGAAAAGGTTTCAACGAGTCCACAGGTCATTGGACTTTACAAAATGTTTTAATGAATTAAGTGATTTTTAAAATTCAGTGACCTTGTTATAATCTTTTGCAAAGTTCAGTGATGAATTATATGATTTTTAAAGTTCGATAATCCCAAGGAAACCTTTTACAAAATTTAATGACCATTTAGATAATTCACTCGCTAGATTGGCCATGTCATGCTACTCATTTTCTTCTCTTTTTTTAAGCATGGCGTACTTGGTTTTTATCTAATTAAAATTTGAGAGTTGTTTGAATAAAATGAAATTGACATTCAAGAAACATATTCTATACAAAAATATGAGCAATTGAGATATACAGGTAGGACTGTCAATGGATCGGATGTGCTCAAATTCGATCTGATCCGATCCGATAATCCGACGGATATTTGAATGTTAAATCCAAATCCGATTAACTATGTTATCAGATTTGGATTGAATTCGGATCAAAATTCAATCCATTAACAGCCCTATATACAAGTTTTAAAAAGTCTACATTTTTCGTTTCATGTAATCTTGTGGCCTACTCTTTCTAAATGAACTTCCCAAAATCAACGAGAGAAATGAAAATCCAATATAACTGGCCTAAACCATCAAAAACATCTATGACCTGATTTTGAGAAGGGAAACTACCCTGTTTAGCCATATTTTTAATATCTTATTTTTTTTCTTAATTTAATTTGAATTACAATTTCTCAATCGTATATTTCATCAAATTTTATTAAAAATCTTTCTTTTACTCAAACCGAACAGGGACAAACTTATTGGGTATTTGTATGTGAAAAAAAATGTATTACTAAAAATACTAAAATTGTATTCATGTTTTTACTTAATTTGGAATATTTTATAATAAAAAATACTCACATGTTGACCTTCCCCATTTAAAAATAGGATTGTATGTACAGAGGGGGTACACTTTATAATAAAAAATACTCACCTGTTGACCTCCCCCATTTAAAAATAGGAAAAAATTGTATGTACAGACGGGAGACTATCGAACCGTGTCCCCCCTCTCACATAACAGACGGGCCCCGCGTGTATTAAATAATGTCGAGCCGTGGCTCCCACCTCTTATTGTGAGTAGTAGGTAAAATATTAGGTAAAAAAATCGGTACGTATAGCACGATCCTTACAAATATAACTGAAGTTTATCTCCAAAATCACGGTTCAGAGAGAATTGATTGTAGCGAAATACATGGAAAACACAAGAATCAAACTAGCTAATTACACGGAAAACTCAATATTCAAGTTGACGCGTACAACTGTGGAGTACAAAATCAATCGGGTTTCACTGGAAAAATTCAATACAAGCATCCCATCTTCAGCAGCCCATACAAGTCAGGAATCGATTGGTTGCAGGCTTCAATTAAAAAAAAAAAAAAGGTTGAACCCTAACCTTAAGGCCCCCACCGCCCCGCCCCGCCCCGCCCCCAGAACTTTGTGAGAGAGGTAAATCGCGGAATGTGCCCACCATGCCAGGGAACAAGCGCTGCCTGTACACTGCGCCTACAAGGAGTCCAATTCCATGTTTCGAAAATCGAACCCCCACGACTGCCAGCAAAGCGTGAGATAACCTCATTTCTGTCCTTTGCATCACTAGGCTATGCCCCGGGGGGCCAGGCTTCAATTCTCTTCGACTTCTTCCGGTTCATACCTATTCCACAAATAATATGTTGCGACATTGAGGAAAAGTAGGTCTCCCAAACCAGCAAGCATTTCCCTTATTCTTCTATGCTATCTTAAAATTTACATCTACAGAACATTGGGGAAGAAGGTGTATCTGGGTTTGATATGTATCTTAAAGAATTAATTTGTTTCCTCACATAGTCAGTGAATTTAGCTTATTATTCCTTTTTCAGAATTGGAGTCCTGGGGGATTCCTTTCTTTTCCAAATATTTCACAGTTGAAGGTAATTATATCACGATCTTGTATTTTCACAGCTTTTATTTCCTGGTGTCTTCTATTCCCTAATTCTTGCACATTACTAAAATCCGGGTTATAACAAAACTTAAGCAAAAAATTCAATGTGAGGTGCGAGAATTTCGAAAAGTGGTCAGCAAACTCTACACCGAGCAACATAGATTACTGATGGAGTTTGAAGTACAACTAAGCTCATATGATTACAACTAGGGCTGACAAGAACCGAACCGACCCAAAATTTTCAGGTATTTGGAATCGTCGGGTCCAAATTTAATTATGAAACCGTTCGGGTTCGATTCCATTTGGTTCCGAGGTTCCGTATTTTAAAATTTTTAATATTTACAAAGTTTCATTAATTCAATTAATGATATATTCAATCTTAACTCTTACAAAATAACGTAGTCCAATCTTATGTATTTTTTGCATCTCTCTTTGCTGAGTTCTTCATAAATTTAATTATTAAAATCACAGAAAAAGAAGGTAGCGATCTCAAAATAAATAAGAAAGACGTTGTAGAGCTTAAATTCGATTGTCTCCAGTAGAAACGACAATATAGTAGATTAACAGATTTGAATAAAATTGAGGTCAATTTGATTAAGTTCGCTTTGAAGTGAAAATTAGAAATAGGAAAATCATATTTTTTGTTTGTTTGAACTAATTTAACTAGTTAACAAATTTATTTAGAAAAAATAGAAAATTTTGCTTATTTAAAATAAATTAATTAAAAAAATTAGGAAAATTTGGTTCTTATTCGATTTTTCTGGTTTTGTTCTAGAATCGAGAATCGAACTGTACTCGTCAGTTCTCAATTCCAATACCCGTTCGGGTATTTAACTTGAGAAGAATCGTCAGGTTTGGTTCGAGAGTTTTGTTCAGACCTAATCACAACCACAGGAAGGTAGTTTTTACTTGAGCTGATGCTTACCCAGCTGACATTGGAAAGTACTTTTGTTGGTGCTGCAAAGAAGCCAAAGGTAGCCATTGCCTCGGTCTTGCACAACGATTATGAAGAATAGAGAATTCTGACTTTGTCGACTCGGTGTACTATGAAATGTTCCATTGTATCATTAGTTGTGTGATTTGTGATGCTTTTTGAACAAATCTCAGCCATTGTAATTTACGAAGTGCCATGAACAGTTCATACAATTCATAGACTGCTCTGTTTACACTCAAGTTTCACTATTGATATATTTTTTTTAAACAATAAAATGAGTTGTTCTACAAAATATATTGCAACCTAGAAAGAGATGTGGCCTTTGACAAAA